GCTGGCCCATTCTGAAGAATCCACCCTCCCCTCGGCACCAGGCACACGCTACGTACGATGCACTGGTCACCATGGTAACTCCACTTCCCGCCCACTCTCCAGCCAGACCTTCAGTGCCTCATTCACGGTGTCTGCCACACCTGGCGCAGTGCCTGGCACATTACCCATCTCTGCGTATAAAAGGCTAACATGCTAAGTGTCCGTCTGACCAGTTGCTATGATGCACCCTGACCACCAGGGGGCAGACGCTCAGCGCAGGAGCTGCTGAGCTGCGGTGACCTGGCAGCAGTGAGGAGGGAGCCCATTCCTCCCAAGGCCACGCGATTGTTCCACCTTCGGCCGTGGATGACGTTGTTGCTGGGGCCTGTCGGCCCCGAATCCGGTTGCTGCACACGTGTGTTTGCATTCCACACCCTGTATGTACGACAGCAGCTTTGCAGAGTGCCTCTCCCACTCCAGGGCCCTCGGGGATGTCGGAGCCGGTTTCGGCCCGATCCCCACAGGCCAGGCTGAGAGACCCCCCTGCCAGGGGACCCCCGCTCACTCTGCAGACGCCCATCGGCCACAGCCCCGCCAGGTGCAGCCGGCTGGGGAGGAACCGCGGAGGTGGCTCTGGGGTGTGCCTGGCCCATCTTGCCCAGCCCCACCTCACCGGCCACTTTTAATTTCCTTCCTTTCAATGTGCACGAGTCCCTGCACCGGGTCACTAGTATTCAATAACAAGGAATGCGTGAATGTTCGAACGAATGAATGAGTGAGTGAGTGAATGAATATGGAAAGGCACATGCTCATCTCCAAGGGGGACTGCAACGCGGCCCCCGCTCCCTCCTCGGCTCGGCCAGGCGCAGGGCCAGCCTCCGGAGCCTCCTCCCTGCCAGTAAGCCACATTGTTGGCCCCTCGGCAGAGGATGTGTGGAAGCGAACAGAGTGGCTGGATCTGTGTCAGTTACGGGCCAGAAGCCCAGCCACGCCCGCAGCACATTCTGCAAAAAGGATGCCAGCACAGCCTCGTGGAAAAGTCCCTCAGAGGCGCCTCGGCCTCAAAGCCGTCCGCCAGCTGTCAGCCCAGCCCAGGCACATTCACTCCACGTGCCCCCTGCCCCACGGGAGCCGGGTGCAGCCGGCCGGCCACCGGCTGTCAGCTCAGCCCAGGCACATTCACTCCGCGTGCCCCCTGCCCCTCGGGGAGCGGGGTGTGGCCGGGCCGGCCACTGGCTGTGGGAGTGGAGTGAGGCCACGCCAGGTCACTGGTGACGTTTGCCGAGTTCCTGCTCAGCCTCTGCCGGGCGGACAGAGCCCCGAGGCGGCAGGGCCTCTCACCAGCAACATGCCCCGTTTCCCTGCTGGTCCTCCTCTGACTCACACCTTCCACCCTCCCTCCCGGCACCTCCCGTCGCCTTAGAAACCGAGAGGCAGGGGATGCTCACAGCACCGGACACTGACCCTCGGCCCGGTTCCCCCAGGACCCCGCAGCCACGGCTATGACCTCGCCGTCCTTTCCTTATCCGTGTCCACATGTGGCTGCCCCGCCCGCCCGCGTCCCGGGAGCCGGGGAGCGGAGGGCCCCGGGTCAGGAGCACGAGGGGACGCTGAGGGACGGGCCTCCTTCCTCCCGTGGCGCCCGGCCGAGAGGCACCCTGTGGCCGCCAGAGGCGTTCTGAGGCCGCCGCGGGCGCAGGGAAGGTGCGGAGGCAAAGTTTCTGGACTTTGAAGAGGGGACGTTTCCAGGTGAAAACCAAACCCAGAGGCTCAGGGCCGTCTTTCTGCGACGGAGGGACAGGGCGCCACGTGGGAACCTGGTGATGAGCTCGGTCGCTGGTGGACACTCCGCTGAGGGCCGGGGAGCTGAACGGCGGGTGGGGAGAATGCACCCCGACTTTGCACCGAGAGCAAAAAGGATGAAGCATAATGAAGTGTGTTATGTGGCACGTGGTACAAGAGAGAGAAGAGGGAGGGAGAGAAGCATCAGTGATGTGAGAGAATCATTGCTCAGCTGCCTCCTGCGTGCCCCCCACGGGGTCGAGCCAGTAACCGGGCCTGTGCCCCGACCGGGAACCCACCCACGATCTCCTGTTCATAGGTCGACGTCACCCACTGAGCCCCTGTGGCTGGAGGAGACTTAATTCCCCGTCAGTGCGAGGCCATCGGGCGGGCGGTTGGCAGACGGGGGGCTGTGTGCGTTTGAAAAGGGCTGTTAGCTGCCACCACCAGCTGCTCCGCTCACACCTGTCCCAGGCGGAGACGTCTTCAGGCCGCCCATGCCCCCACGGACGCGCCGAGATGTGTCCTCAAAGGAGGCGGCAGCCGCTGGGCCAGCTCCTCGCTCGCGGTGGGCGGCCAGGTCGGGAGATTCTCCAGGTTTCCCTTCCCGTGGAGACGGGGCGGTCGCCTTGGAAACCGTCATCACGGGCCGCTGCTCACCCTGACAGACAGATGGAGGGTTCTGGCCAGGGCTTTGCTCAGGGCTGCGGCTCCCGGGGACGGCCAGAGTGACGGCCTCAGAGCCGCCGTCCCGGGGCGGGGGCGGGAGGGGCAGGAGGCGGAGGCGGGTGTCCGGTGCCTGTCACTCCACTCGAGCCCCCAGCTGCCCAAGGTGCCGGCCACGGGCCCAGGCGGCTGGAGCGTGGCCCCCACGCCAGCAGGGCTGTGGGGCGAGTCCGCCAAGGCACAGGCCTGGGTTGGGGCTCGTTGTCCAGTGGCAGCCAGAAGGGGAGGCAGCCAATCCACGTTCTCTCTCCCCGTCCCCCGTCCTCTGAACAACACATGTCCCTGCGGAGGATGAGAGGATGTGTGACCGCCACGGCCACCACCTGCCACGGCAGCTCAGCAGCAGCAGCAGCGAATGTGGGCGGGGCGTCCACGCCAAGCCTCCTTCACGGTGCAGCTGAGGCGGGGGGCAGTCCTGGGAGGGGGGTTTGCAGGTCACCTGGCAGGGGTGCGGGGGACTTGGTGGTACAGGCGGCCTGGGGGGGTGTGGGCGGCCTGGGGGGGTGCGGGCGGCCTGGGGGGGTGCAGGGGACCTGGTGGTGCAGGAGGCCTTGGCCGTCACTTCAGTGGAGGAGCCTGGTCACAGAGGGGACTAGCTCCAGCTGAGAGGAGGCAGCCGCTGTGCACTGAGAGGAAGGACCTGTGCGGGCCTGGAGGGGGGTGGGTGAGCCCAGGGGCCGTGTCCGCCCTCCCTAACAGCTTCTCCTGCCAGACCGCCCCTGGGGACCACCTGGGGGTGAGGGCTGCCCCCGCAGACCCCCATTCCCCAGGGCAGGTGCCTTCCTCCCCCGGGAACCTGGGAACTGTCTCCCTGGCCTGAGGGCCTCCCCAGGAGAGGCCCTGAGAGCCGCCTCCCGCCTGCCGCCCTCAGTCCGCCCTCAGTCCGGGGAGTGCTTCCTGCTTTCCAGCCCCTCGTTCCTTCGTGGCTCCCCGACCAGGAACCAGCAGGCTGTTCCCCCGCCACGCACGGCCCAGCCGCCCTGCGCACAGCCGAGCGGGCGCCCCGAACCAGCCGCCGGCCAGCGCCTGCACACCAGCAGGGGGAGCGGGTGGCGAGGCCTCTCCTGCCCGAGCTTCTGACAGAAAACTGAGCTGTTAGCCGCCGAACAGAGGATTTCACATGTTGCCACGTGAACCGGCTTTTTTTCTTTTTATAAATATATTTTATTGATTTTTTACAGAGAGGGAAGGGAGAGGGATAGAGAGTTGGAAACATCGATGAGAGAGAATCATCGATCAGCCGCCTCCTGCACACCCCCCACTGGGGATGTGCCCACAACCAAGGTATATGCCTTTGACTGGAATCGGACCTTGCAATCTGAAGGCCAACACTCTGTCCATTGAGCCAAACCGGTTTCGGCTGAACAGGCTTTTAATAGCGATTTCACCCACAGCGGTCCCCAACAGCCAGGTCACAGCGATGTCTGGTGCAGAAGCGCTTATGATGTTTCACGCTCAGTGCCAGCCACGCACACGCTGCCCAGCTGCTCTGGCGCAGCATCCCCGCCCCTGTACTTGGCTCGTTCCTCGGTGGAATGAGGGTTCCTGGGACACAAGCACGGCGACACCCCAACACCCCACCTGGTCCCCGAGACAAGCGAGCTCCCAGGGTGGAGATGGTCACATCCGGGCAGCACCAGATCCCGTCACGCTGCTCAGAACAGCAGGCCATTTAAACGCACAGATGGCTTATTTCTGGAATTTCTATTCAATACTGTGGGGCCCAGGTTAACCAAAACCCTGGAAAGGGAAACTGGACCAGAGGGGCTGCGGCTCCATCAGAAGCATCACCCATCCCCTGGGCCGGGGCCGGAGGCCACACCCCACGTCGGGAGGAGCAGCTCCAGGGGTGCAATCTCCTGCCCCCAGGCCACCCCCGCACCCCCACACAGAAGGGTGGCCTTCACCCCGGAGCAGGCCAAGCACACGCCACGTGCAGAGAGGGGAAGTATGGCCTAGGGTTTTGAGCTCAAACACCACAATCCATCCGAATTAATCTTTATTCTCTTCATGACTGAGCCACGCGTGCCCCTGTGAGTCTCCCATCACTGGAGACGGGACCCCACGTTCCTCTGGAAGCATCGGCAGGCCAGGGGCAGGCACAGGGCACAGAATCCCGTCACGAGCTCGTGCCGCTCGTTCCGGGCAAGTTTCCATCCTGCCGGCCCCTCAGGCTGTGGGGAGGTTCAGAGAGGACTGGCCGCGGTGGCCAGAGAGCCACGCCTCACTCAGTGTTCCTCACGGCACCGGCGGCGAAAGGGAGTTAGGTACAAAGTGAAGATGGGCTTGATGCAAAGGAGAGAGCAGTGCAGAAATCATGGCAGCTTTTTACCGGAACAAAAGCTCCGATCCTGTGTCCAACGAGCATCACAGGATGGAAGCAGTCACCTCTTCACGTCAGACAGGACCGAGGCAAGCCCACACTCTCCGGTGCCCGTGGAGCACACACAGGAGCCCAGCCTGGCAGACCCTCCGTCGAACGGCCGCCTCAGTGGGAGCCGCGGGCGCGAGGGTCACAGCTCGGACCTGGAGCTGGCGAAGGTCAGCTTGGCCTCCAGGTCCTGCAGCTTCGTCTGTAGGATCGTCAGCACGTCCTCCATCTGGGCAGGAGAACGGAGAGTTAAACCACACAGGGCGGCTACAGTCAGACACGGCTCAGCAACTAAAACATACGTCAGTGATGCAGCCTGAGAGTCAGCATTGCACGGACACTCCATGAGTATTTAGTGAATTATTTAAACTAAATAATTATTTAAATAACACATAAGCCTATTAACAGTTCTCAGCCTCTAACTGGCAGCTCTTTAAGGAGGGTTCTTTTGTTTAAAATTGCTTTTATTTTTAGAGAAAAGGAGAGGGAGAAACATCAATCGGCTGCCTCCTGCACGCCCCCTACTGGGGACTGAGTCTGCAACCTGGGCCTGTGTCCTGACCGGGAATCAAAGCGTGACCCCTGGTTCAGAGGTCAATGATTGACCCCTGAGCCACACGGGCGGGCTCGGCCGCTCTCATCCATTCCTCACCCTCGTGCCTCCGGCCTGAGATGTTACCGTGCAGAGTGCCTGCTGCCCTGAGCACCGAGCCCCCTCAGCGAGCTTCCTACAGGGCGATGCCCCGCTTTTGGCAGGAGGTGGCCTCCTGGTTATTGTTTGGATTGAGCTTTGGCTTCCTTCGTCCCCAGGAGGCAGCTTCCTGACGCCCGGAGAAGCCGTGCTGAGGGGCGGGGGCTCCCGGGACAGGCGCCGGAGAGCGGGCACCCACCTGCTTCAGCGAGTTCTCGATCTCAGCTCTGCTCTCCAGACCGAGCGCCTTGTCCTCCGACACGATGTGCTTCTCCGAGGACCCTAGGACGTAACTGCACACGCGGGTTAGTGAGCCAGTGTTCCCCGGCGTTCGCTGACCGTGTTAACTCCACACGTCACACCACGCAGCCCCACGCACACCACAGCTGGTTCTGTTACCAGCCCCCATGCCCACAGCGGAACCACACAGCGCCGTTTCCTCCAGTAGTGTGGTCCAGACATCCCTAACATTCCCCGGTGTCAGTCCTTCACGATGGGAACCACTGCGCGGAGAACGTGAACACTCACAGTTCAAAACCCTATCGCCAAAAACCCATAACAAAAACAAAACCCTTCATCAAACCTCCCCCCGAAAAAAGAAAACCCTATCCCCCCAAAAAAACCCCCAAAACAAAAACAAAACCCTATCGCCAAACCTCCCTCCAAAAAACAAAAGCCTATCGCCAAAAAAAACAAAACAAAAACAAAACCCTTCATCAAACCTCCCCCCAAAAAACAAAAACAAAACCCTATCCTCAAACCTCCCCCCGAAAAAAACAAAAACAAAAACCTATCCTCAAACCTCCCCCCAAAAAACAAAACCCATCGCCCAGTCTCTGTGACCTCTCACACTGCCTTGTAGTGAAGAGTGACCTGCGGAGCCAACTCTAGAACCAAACCTGGCGACTCCCCCAGACACCCCCCCCCTCCCCGCCCGCCCCCCACGGCCGCCCACAGACACCCCCCCCCTCTCCCCGCCCGCCCCCCACGGCCGCCCCGGGTGGAGAAGCTGAGCCAGGACTGGCCGGCAGAGGGGCGGCAGCGCTGGGAGCCCCACGAGCTCTCAGCAGGGGGGGGGGGGGGGCGGGCGGTAAAAGCTCCTGGAACACGGCCCTGCAGTGAGGCAGTGAGTCTGTCATCACCGCGGAACCTGTCACTCCTCTAACCCAGTCAGCGGCTGGTCATGGGGGCTCCTCTGACTGAGTGTCTAAAAACACAGGGGGGCCAAAGCCGATGTGGCTCAGTGGTAGAGCGTCGGCCTGCGGACCGAAGGGTCCTGGGTTCGATTCCGGTCAAGGGCATGTACCTTGGTTGCGGGCACATCCCTAGTAGGGCGTGTGCATGAGGCAGCTGATCAATGTCTATCTCTCATTGATGTTCTAACTCTCTATCCATCTCCCTTCCTCTCTGTGAAAAATCAATAAAAGTATATTTAAAAAAAATAATAATAAAAAAAATAAAAACACAGGGGGCTGCAGGGGCATTACCCGCTGCCGGGAGGAGAAGGGGGCGGGAACTCCCGTGACATAAGGAATTATAAAGCGGGAAGTGCCCTCACAGGGCGCCCACTTCCGAACAAACCAGGCTCCTCGGCCTTCAAGTCCCGCCAGAGCAGCGTCTGCGCCGGGATCTGCCCTCCACGACGCCCGGCCCACGGCCAAGCTCGTCCTTCCAGCCCCCCCCCCCCTCCCCGCACGGATCCACGTCAAACCCTCAGGGACCGAGGGAGCGGTTCAGAGCGCCGCCGCCAGGCTGGCTTCGCTGCCGGAAGCGGTGGGGCGGACCCACGCCCCAGGCGGAGGCTCTGGCGCCGGAGCCCTCCCGGGCAGTGCCGCGCACCCACCTCTCGGTGGCGCCCACGCCGAGGCAGAACAGGTCCCGCTTGTAGTCCAGGTGGCCGGGCGTGCTGCGGTAGATGTGGCCGAGCGGCAGCGCGCAGCCCGCACAGCGCAGGCTCTCCAGGATGCTGGGGAGAGATGGACGCTGAGCCCGCTCACCCCCATTCACCCCGGACGCTCACCCCGGACCCTCATCCCCAGACACACCCAGACCCTCACCCCCAGACGCTCACCCCCGGACGCTCACCCCCAGACACCCCCAGATACTCACCCCCGGACGCTCACCCCGGACCCTCATCCCCAGTCGCTCACCATGGATCTCATCCCCAGACACACCCAGATACTCACCCCCGGACGCTCACCCCGGACCCTCATCCCCAGACACCCCCAGATACTCACCCCCGGACGCTCACCCCGGACCCTCATCCCCAGACCTTCACCCCCAGACACACCCAGAAGCCCACCCCCGGAAGCCCACCCCCGGATGCTCACCCCCAGACAGACACTGAGGCAATCTGAGTGGAAATAACCAGAGATCCCGACTGGGAATCACGTGGCACAGCCGACTCACCAGCCGTTCTCGTTCTCTCGTTTGGACAGTATCTGCTCGGCATCCACAGAGACGTTGCTGGACACGCCTAGAGAAGGGACAACGCCTTCTGTGCTTTGTTGTAACGGAGACAGACACTTAGGAAACTTCTAGTCAACTTTTATTTTAGAGCTCAGAGGCCCAGAAAAATGAGAGCCCAAGACTGTCTCTCTCTTTTTCTCCCTCTCTCCCTCTCCCTCTCTCTCTCTCTCTCACACACACACACACACACACACACGCACGCGCGCACACGCACACACACACACACACACACACACGCAGGGTTTAAGCAATGTCCTGGGTCTGGGAAGAGGACGGCAGAAGGAGGGTTATTTCCTTCCCTCCCAGAAAACCATTCAAATGAACACACGCACGGAGTCAGAGGAAACTCAATGGACAGCAAAAGGGGAACCATCAGCATCGCAATGCAGAGACCCCGAGAACCTGCTGGCACTGGCACTGGCACTGGGTGTGTGTGTGTGTGGGGGGGGTCACAGGTCACAGTCTGCAGCCGGGAGGGGGGACTGGGTGTGAGCGTGGGGTGAAGAGGGGCCATGGACCTACAAGAGCCCAAACAGTGTTGGTCTACATTCCACCTCCATCCGCCAGCTGCTCAAACCAGCACTGGGGTGCCCTCCTCCTGCTCCCCACATCCACGATGCTGACACATCCTGCCCACCGCACCTCCCAGCCCTCCCCGCAGCCCCCGCCTCCTCTCCTCCTCCTGCCGGACACTGCGCCCCTGACCCCCCACTTCCACGCTCAGGCTCCCGCCGCGGCTCCCTCCACTGAAATCTAGGCCACGCCGCGCCGGCCACACGCCTCCCTGACGGGAGATTCCGACCCTGACAACAGCCCAGGGCCCGGATCGGCCCCTCCTCCCTCCTCGGCTGATCTTCACTCCACTCCTGGCCACCCCGGCTGGCCGTGTCCTCGCCCCCAGGCTCACAGCCTCAGCGAGCGCGGCCAGGCCGCCATCGCGCACGGAGACCAGAGAGGCCAGCAGGAGGAGCCAGGGCGCCCTGTGCCCCACCCGCACTCAGGAACGAGGCCGCTCACACGCAGCTTATGGAAGTGAGTCCCGGACCTGAGAAACCAGCTCACACAAACGCTACATAAAGCTCAACGACGCCCTGGCTCAGCTCAGCCGGTCAGAGCATCGTCCGGCACCACAGGGCACCTGGAGGAGAATCAACCGCCGAGTGCCTCAATAAGCAAAGAACAAGTCCACGCTCTGCCTCCCTCCCTCCCATCAGCATTTTTTAAAAAAGCTAAATGATCTCGCCACAGCTACAGAACAGTATGTACACGTTATGAATCTTGACAAAGTAAAAATAATTCAGCTTGATCACACCGGGGCAGGAGGAATGAAAATGAATCCAAGAGTCACTTTATCTTTCATGGGGAGGGGTGTTACATCATATTGTAAAATCCCCCTTTTACAGAGGAGAAAACTGAGGCAGGGAGCAAGCTGCCCAAGGAGACACAGCTAAGCTAGTGAGCGGCAGGCCATCGCCACGCTGCACTGCCTGTCAGCAAGGGCACACCAGAGTATTTCTGTCTGTGTCAATATTCAGAACGTGTGTAAGCCAAGACTACATGCTTAAGACATGCGTAGTAAGCCTCTGGCGTGTTTTCAGCAGTCAGTGTTTTAACGTGCTGATGCGTGCAGGGGCTGCCAGGGCGTCTGGATGAACACAGGCTCGGGGCTGTCAGTGTGGGGCCAGGACGCAAGCCCTCTCCTCCCCCCTCTCACTGGGTGATTTCACTATCAAAGGGTCCGTCCCGATAAATGACCCTGGGAAATGCCTGCTCTCAGGCTCATGTCAGCAATCACTGTCCCTTTTAAAAAATACGTTTTTACTGATTTCAGGGAGGAAGAGTAACAGAAACGTTAGAGAGAATCCCTGATGGGCTCCTGCACGCCCCCTACTGGGGACCTAGCTGCAGCCCGGGCCTGTGCCCTGACCTCCCGGTTCCAGGTGGATGCCCAGCCCCTGAGCCCCGGGCGGACTGCGGTCCCTGAGTGACTAGCGGTCCTGCGGGAACCGCGGGCCTCAGGGAGCTCCGGGCACCGGGCCCAGGAGCCCGCCTCCTCCCCAGACCGTCACTCCAGGAGGAACCCCAACTCCAAACCACAGGCCCAGGTCAGCGTTTACACCAGCAGACCCGCTCCCTGAACTGCCACCACGAGACCCCCGACAGGGGCGCCTTCTGGCCGCCCGATGCCCCGGAGGCCGGCGCCGTCACGGGTTCGCTCACAGCCTCCCTCCGCTGAGGCCGGGCCGGGGGCCCCCGTCCCCAGACCGCCGGCCGGTCCTGGGGTGACTCAGCGGCTGCACCGAGATGCTAGGACCCGGGTTTTTGTTTAGTTTTTAACGGGCGCTCACTGCGCTGCCGATTCAACCGCGACCGATGCGCGGCGACGCCGGGAGGCCCCCGGGAGGCCCTGGGCCCCGCTCCCACGGGCTCCCGCCGCCCCCGCCCCGCCCCGGGGCGCCGCCACTGACTGCGCAGCAGGATGCAGCCGGCCTCGGGCCCGGCCACCCAGCTCAGCGAGTCGCCCAGCGGCCGCCGGCAGCCGGCGCACAGGAACACGAGCGGCCGGTCCTCGTCCCGCGCGGCCGCCGCCTCCGCGCTCCGCTCCGCCGCCGGCGCGGGCCGGCTCAGCGAGCCCCACGTGCTGGCCCACGGCTCCCGCGGCGGGCGGCCGGGCGAGCCCCCCGACAGCCGCCGGCCCAGCAGCGGCGGCTCGGCCCGCGCGCCCCGCGCGCCGCACGCGCAGCCGGGGCCGGCGCAGCCCCTGCAGCGCTCCGGCGCGGGCGCTCCCGCCATCGCTGCGAACCGCGGCCGCGGGGCACCACGGGAAACGCCGTCGCCTGTGCGCGTGCGCGGGGCGGGGCCTGGCGGGGCGGGGCCTGGCGGGCAGCCGGCTAGTGCGCATGCTCGCTGCGGGCCGAGCCGGGTGGGCGCCGCGCGTGCGTGGGGGCCCCGCTGGGCGCGGGCGGCGCGGGCGGCGCGGGCGGCGCGGGCGGCGCGGGCGGCGCGGGCGGCGCGGGCGGCGCGGGCGGCGCGGGCGGCGCGGGCGGCGCGGGCGGCGCGGGCGGCGCGGGCGGCGCGGGCGGCGCGGGCGGCGCGGGCGGCGCGGGCGGCGCGGGCGGCGCGGGCGGCCAGGCCTCCGCAGGGCGGCGTCTGAGAGCTCCGCCCGGGCCGTCGGCAGCTCCTCCCCGGGACCTAAGGCGAGCCCGCTGCCCCGGGGCGGGGGGCGGCCGGCGGCGGCGGGGAGGACCGGAACCGGGAGAGGCACGTGCGGGGCCGCCGGCCCGGGAGACGCGGGCGAATGGCCGGTTGCCGGGCTGGAGTGAACTGCCTTCCCCGCCGCACAGGGCGGTGGCGGTGGTCGCCTGGAGCCGTCCCCTTGGCGTGGCGGCGCCGCTGCAGAGCCGGGGGGAGGGGTCGGGTGGGCCGGCTGCAGGCCTGGGGGCGGGGGCTGGGGCGGGGGTGTGCGTGGGGAGAGCGCGGGGGTCTGAAACGCGGGCGCTGCCCCGGGATTCCCGGAGCTTCCACCGGGTTCGCTTACAAACGCCGCCGCCAGGTGGCGCTGTGCGCCGGCCGCTCCGGTCACCGCGGGCGCCCCCGGAGGTCAGGCCGCCCAGCGGCTGCGGGGGGCGGGGGCCTCTCAGCCTCCAGGGAGCCGCAGGCGCAGCCCGGCCCCGGCTGGGGGTCAGGCTAAGCCGCTGTCCCACATTTCCCCAGGGGACCCGGATTGCGAGGGGCGCAGGCCCAGCCGAGGGACCCCAATGCTGCACAGATCCGTGCCCTGGGCCTCTGGTGTATATATATGATATGATATTATTTTATTATACTATATTACATTTATTATATTCACACACACATATATATAATAGATACATACGTATAATATACACTGTGGGACACAGCTACAGCGTCTGGACAGGTCCAAGCCTCGGGCTGCCGAGAGGGCACAGTCCTCGGCCACGTGCAGGTCCCAGCACCATGACAGCCAACAGCTGTGGTTGTGAGCGTGCACCTGTGGTCCGAGCACGTGGCCCCACGTGCCTGAGGGACGTGGGCTTGATAAGGTTCAGGTGCGTGTAGCTGAGTAGGATCGAAACTCAGGATGTGGTAAACTCCTTGGCCACGCCCTTCCTTTGCCTCGTGGCATCGGCTGTGAAATAAAGACACGGCGTGTAGCCCGTGGCGCTGCCTCTCCATCAGAGGCAGTGTCCACCCCGACCCAGCTTCCTCCTCTTGTCTGTCTTTTCTCCGTCCTTCACCGCCCCCTCGGTCACTGAACCTGCGGAGTTGGCGGCACAGAGGAGGCCGGGGCCGGGCCGGCTCCCCACAGTGCACAGGACATACACTGAGTGGCCAGATGATCATCGTAATCTGGCCACTCGGTGCACATCCGGATCAGGTGGCCTAGCTACAGCTCTCATTCCCCACTCAGGAATTAAGAGATTGGCAGGCAGGGTCACTCCCAGCCGGCCCGCTGAGTAGGAAAACGGCCTTTTGAGCTGTTTTCACCCTTCAGCTGCCACCATTTTGTTTTGTTTGTGTCTCGTGTTCTCATGCATCTGAGATTCCTGTTTCATTTTGTTAAAGTAACTTAGTTTTTCTTACAGGATGCGTGGGTGGAAAATGTCTAAAAATAAACAATGCGAAGGTGAACATTCTTGTACATACAGCTTTCTGCCCTTGTCTGATAATTTCATGATAAAATAACAGAAGTTCCCAAGTTGAAGCTTTGTGCACATTTCTTAAAAGTCCAGTAATTTCTATTGCTAGCCTTGCAGAATGTTCTCACCGTGAATACATCAATAAGTTTTAAGAATTATCAAGAAATCTTCTCTACCCCAACCTTTCCCACACACCATGGGGTATTTTTTTTTAAAATATATTTTATTGATTTTTAACAGAGAAGAAGGGAGAGAGATAGAGAGCTAGAAACGTCGATGAGAAATATCGGCCAGCTGCCTCCTGCACACCCCCTGCCAGGGATATGCCCACAACCAATGTACATGCCCTTGACCGGAATCGAACCTGGGACCTTTCAGTCCGCAGACCGACGCTCTACCACTGAGCCAAACCAGCTTTGGCCATGGGGTATTTTTAAAATAATATATATTTTATTGATTTTTTACAGAGAGGAAGGGAGAGAGAGAGAGAGCTAGAAACGTCGATGAGAGAGAAACATTGATCAGCTGCCTCTTGCACATCCCCTACTGGGGATGTGCCCACAACCAATGTACATGCCCTTGACCGGAATCGAACCCGGGACCGTTCAGTCCGCAGACCTACGCTCTATCCACTGAGCCAAACCGGCTTCGGCACCATGGTGTATTTTGAAGCAAATCCAAGACCTCATAGCATTCCATGTATGTCACAAAGATGTTTAAAGAATACAGTCACGGTACAGGTATGCCTCAGAGATATCAAGGGTTTGGTTACCGACACCACAATAAAGTGAGTATCACAATAAAGCAAGTCACGGGGTTTTTGTTTCCCATTGAATACACAGCGAGTGGCCAGATGATGATCTCTGAACGCACAGTAACCTGGCCCCACTCAGTGTGTGTGCGTGGCGCCTGCTGTGTGGGTGTCTGTGTGAGGGTGCACAGTGGCCTTTGCGTGTGCACACGAGGGGCTGAGCGATGGCTGCAGGCGGTGATGGCCGCGGCGGGCATGCAGAAGAGGCTCTCCGGTGCAGGAGGCCTGTGTCTCAGCGCAGCTCCGGGTTCTGTGCGGATGTGGGTGAGCGTGTTTGTCCCGAGACGCAGGATGGAGTGATTTCTGTGGACAGGCCTGCGAGGCGGGGCCTCAGGGAGCTGCAGACCACGGCGTGCGGGTGTCCACGGCGTGCGGGTGTGGCCTCGTGGGCGGTGGCTGCAGGCTCCACCGAGAGGCCAGGTTCCCGCTGCCGTCCGTGCCGCGCCCTCTGCGGAGACCCGTGGAGCTCGGGAGGTGGGTGCTGGAGGGACCCAGCGCTGTGACTCCCGGGGCCGCCCCTGACCGTGCGCCTCGGAGGAAGACAGCCTGGGCCTGCATGCTCCCCCGCCCCCGCCTCAGCCGGGCGGTGACCTGCGGGTTACCCAGAGGCCCAGACAGCTCGTCCATCGCGAGCCCAGGGTCTCGGGCCCAGATTAGCGGGGGGCACGGGGCGGGGGCGCTCTGGCCTAATGGACGGCAGCGTGGACGTGAGCGGGTCACAATTCAGGGCCACATCGCCGTCTCCGCTCGGATGACGAGCCTGAGCCAGTGGGCTGGTTGCTCAACGGCCAGCGTGGCCTCGGAGGGGCCAAGGGCAGCCCGGCTCCGCGGGGTTAACCTGTTCGTGCCTGTCTCCCGGCCCTGGGTCTGCGTCCATCCTCCCCTCAGCGGCCTCCGCCCCGCTGTTTGCCTTGGAGCCCCGTCAGGAGGGGCCGGAGCCCAGAGCGTCCGGCGGGCGGCCACCCCCCTTCCTCCAGCCAATGGCTCCGGCCGGGCGGCCTTGGGCCCGAGACCCACAGACACACTTGGACGCCTCCCCGAGGGGTTGGCCAATCTGCCCGCGGCCTGCGCAGTGGACGCCAGCGGCACGGCCACGGCCATGGCCAACAGCAGCAACGCCTCGGCGCCTGCCTATGAGTACTACCTGGACTACCTGGACCTGCTGCCCGTGGACGAGAGGCAGCTGGTGGCCCACAAGTGTGAGTGCTGCGGGGTGCGGCCGGGCCCCAGGCTCTCTGCCCCGGACGGCTTGGGGGCCGGGCGCCCGCGCTGGGGGGATAGGGGAGCGGACAGTGTCCGTCATCGTCCTTGGGACGTCCGGGACTCGCCTGAGGGACGCCACGCTCTGGGCGCCCGTGCGGGAACAGAGTTCTGTGATGGGGTCGAGGGCCCGGGGTCCGGGGAGCACGGTGGATGCCTCCGTGGCAGGCTCCGGGGTCCCCGTGTCTGTCAGACTCGGAGAGAGCCAGCTTCCTGGGCGGTGACCGCCCCAGCGCTCGCCAGCCCCCTCTCTGGGGCGACGCGGGGTTTGTCAGCAATCCCAGGGGATCACTCAGCTCCCCGGGGGATAACAAGTTAGCGGAGGGAGTACAAGAGCGAGAAAAACAGCGAAGGCCTGGCTGGGGCCCAGCCCCGCCCTCCCGGAGCCATCGCCTCGGGCCACAGACTCTCACATGGGGAGGGAGGTGGCTCTGCCCACCAGCTCCGAACGGAAATCGTCCCATGTCCTTATTTAAAAAAAATATTTGTTATTGATCTCAGAGAGGAAGGGAGGGGAGAGAGAAACATCAATGATGAGAGAGAATCATGGACCGGCTGCCTCCTGCTGGGGATGGAGCCCACAACCCGGGCCTGTGCCCTGACCAGGAATCGAACTGGGACCGCCTGGTTCACAGGTGGACGCTTGACCACTGAGCCACACCGCCTGGCCCAGGTGTGTCCTTTTCGGGGGGAGCTGCTTTGGGAAAACAGTTAAGCTCGGGAGGAAGCCATCGGTGAATGAGAGTAAGCCGATCAGTACACCAGGCGTCAGAAGTAAACTCGCTCTCACAGCAGCGCTGGTGCTGCCCGGAGGTAACTCCTGAAGAACTGGCCGGTGTTAGGGTCTGGTCAGGACGTGCGTGTTAGGGACTGGGACACCCCCTGTGGCCGAGGAGGCTGTTCTGAGGGTCAGTGTTCATTTGGGTTTGTGAGTTTGAGGACCTTCAGTTAAAAAGTCAGGTTTTTTACTGATTCCACACAGAAAGCTGGGCCAATGGACAGCACCAGGCGGAACAGAAGGCACTTTCTCTCCAGGTGGTCATCTGCGGGCGGGTGCGGGGCTGGCCCCACGGAACCCAGGTATTGAATCCTCGACCCTTGGCTGTGTGGGCTCCAACCACTGGGCCACACTGGCCAAGGCACAGCTTATATTCTCCTGAGCTGGAAGGATGCAGTGATATCACTGCCACCGACCGTCCTCACAGAACAGTGTATTCCGTTTACAGATCGCTGCACGGCCAGTGAAGGAGGAACTGTGCGTGTGCATTGTACACACGTGATCTTATTTAACCTGTGTGGCAGTCTGTATAGCACACTGTCATCCCATGTAACAGACGGAAACGGATTCAGATTGTCTGAGACCAGGTAGCTAGAAAACGGCAGTCAGAATCCGAACTCAGAACCGGAGCCTCAGGCCATGTCCCCGCGCTGGTCCCTGAGAAGTGAATCGGCCAGACCTGGGACTGGAAATGGGGGGCGTTTGGACCCGGGACTGGAATGGGGGGGCGTTTGGGGCCTTGGCCGTTTCCCTCACCGACGCTCAAGTGCCTCCCTGGACGGGAAGTGTCTTCATGGGATGAATCTCCTGCCTCCAAGTTCCGAGAAAGCCCCCAACATGCCACGCCCCCGACTCCAGCCAGAGCCTTCTGCCAACCGCTGTGGCTGCCTCACTCCCCTGTCCAGCTGGTGACCAGTTGGCCCCAGAAAGGGAGGGAGGAGCCAGGGGAGGCGGGGGAGGAGTAGGGAGGGAGAGAAGAGGGGGAGAGAGGGGAGGGAGGGAGGGAGGGAGGGAAGGAGAGGGAAAGAGAGGGGAATGGAGGAGGGAGGGGACATTGGGGCTGGGCGGGCCCTCCATTGCCAGCGGGGCTCCCTGGGAAAACAAGCCTCCTGCTGAACTCCCCGCGGGCGGCGGGCTTTGCCGGGGACAGGACGTCCTCGGAGGAAGGGGGCCTCCCCAGGGGCAGCGAACCCTCTTTCCTTCGCAGAGCGCAGTGAGAGGGCTTCACGGGAACAGCTCCGCGGGGCTGGCTGTGGAAGCTGTGGTCCCACGGCCTGCTGGTGGGGGGGTGGGGCAGGGGCAGACACTGAGAGCCCGAGGGGGATGGAGGAGGGAGACTTCCCAGCTGCCAAGGTTTGAAGCTGCTTCCTTAGAGGCGCCGACAGGACTGACCTCGGTGCTCAAGGATATGTTTTCACTGGTTTCAGAGAGGAAGGGAGAGAACCATCCATGATGAGAGATCTGTAGGCCGGTGCCTCCTGCACGCCCCACACTGGGGACGGAGCCCTGACCGGGAATGGAACCCTGACCTCCTGGTTCACAGGTCGATGCTCAACCCCTGAGCCACGCCGGCCGGTGGGAGACCCACCTGAGCAGCAGCAGCAGCTGAGAGGGTGCCTCCATCCGCTGCAGATTCATTCCCGCTTCCCCTCCAGACTGCCCCCTCACCGCCCGGTGGCCAGGGCTCGGGGCGAGCCCACTTCGGCCTCCGTCATGGCCCACAGCCCGAGGCCGGCAGAGGCTGGGCATCGCCTTGCGTTCCCCTGGGCCCCCTCCCCTGGGGCGGTGCCGGTGTTCACACCCGCTCCTCTCCCCGCAGACTCGGTGGTGATCGCCTTCTGGGCCAGCCTGGCGGCCTTCGTGGTGCTCCTCTTCCTCGTCCTGCTCTCCATGTCCCGCCCCGCTCCCGCGGCCAGGTGCGTGCGGGCGGGCGCATGGCTTCTGAGGGCCCGGGCCGTGTGGGCGGTGGGTGCGGGCAGGGTGCCCGTGGGCGGCAGCGAGGGGGCCCCGGGGCGGGTGCTGAAGAGCTGCACGTCCACGCACGGCTCTGCCACGGGAGGAACGAGGCCTGACACCGCGCCCCATGGGCGAGCCGAGGACCGAGGCTCAGGGATTCTCATGGGGAAGTTTCTGGAAGAGGCAGCTTTCTGGCTGTTGCTAATGATATCATCTTTGGGATAAGAATATTCTGAAAGGGACTGTGGTGCCCGGCCGGTGTTGCTCAGTGGATGAGCATTGACCTATGAACCAGGTCAGGGTTTGGTTCTGGGCCAGGGCACAGGCCCCGGTTGTGGACTCACTCCCCAGTGGGGGGCGTGCAGGAGGCAGCCGATCCAGGATTCTCATTGATGTCTCTCTCCCTCTCCCTTCCTCTCTGAAATCAATAAAAAATAAAGGTAAAAAAATAGAGTGTGGTGATGGTGGCAAAATTGGATGAATATGCTATCGCTCATTGGCTTACATTGTAGATGTGTCTCAGTTAGCCCAGCGGAGTAGGGAGGGGCTGTCCTCCAGCCCTGACGCCTGCCTCTGTCTGTCCACAGGAGCCACGCCCCGCCCCGCCCTGCATGCCCCTGGAGCCTCCACGTCAGCCTCCCCTTCTGCATCCGGAGGCACCCGCTGCTCCACAGCGCCCCCCAGCGGGCCCCGCCCAGCTCAGCCAGGGAGCCAGGCAGCAGTGCCTCCGGGCCCTCCACCTCGCCCCCCACCACCCCGCAGGCCCACCCGGCTCTCCTGTGGGAGCGGGCCCTGGACGGGGACCCCCAAGGCGTCAGCTGATGTCACCACCAAACAGCTGGCCTCCCACTGCGGCTGGTCCTGCACCGGCGAGTGACGGCCACTCGGAGGGACTCAGACCGGACACGCGCTCCTGGAAGCAGGGGCACAGCCTGCCGCGGCCGGCCACGGGGAGGCGCTGATGTGGGCTGTGCACCCACTGGCCCCGCAGCACCAGCCGCCTGGCCGGGCACTGCCCCACGGCAGGCAGAGCGCTGGCCCCAGCCGCTCACTCCTGGGCTCCCTCGGGAAGCGCGAACAGAGCGCACGGAAATAAAGATGTCACTCGGTCTCACCGCCACTTCCCAGCCTCCCCGGTCACCGCTGCAGCACCAGCGGCCTGGCGTTCCCCGGGCCGTGGCCTCCCCAGACGGGGCCGTGGGGCGGAGGGCAGGCGAGGGCCCAGATCCAGGGCGCACAGGGGAGAGGAAGGAGGTGTCCTTCCACGGACCCTGCGTGCTGCGGGTGGGGGAGGGAGCAGCTCCTGGCCTCCGGGACGAGCTGCTTGGTGGCGAGGGGCCCGCAGACCAGCCCGCTCCGTCTGTGCTGATGCTGCTTATGAAGAGAAGCAGGAGGTGCCACGCCTCTCGGGGGTGGGGTGTCACACGGGCAAACGACAGCCACCTCCATGGGGACGGGCGGGGGCCTCGGCCGTCAGGTGCCGAGGCCGGGCCGGGAGCCCTGGCGTGCGGGGTACAGGGTGTGGAGCTGAGGGACAGGCTAACCACGGAAGCTGCCTCGTCCATATTTCCACGGCGTCCGGGGACACCATCAGGGAGGGGCCTTGGAAGTCAGACTGACTCAAACCCACAGGCCTCTGAGGGACCAAAACAGCTTTTAACGTCAATTAAGCCGAACAGAAATTAACAAAAATAGACATTTATTATCAGTTACAAACAGGCTGCTTCCCCAGCAGAGGCCAAGGCGACCGCACGCTAAGGGCCTGAGCAGCCCCGGGCGTTAATGGAGCTCGGCTGCAGCAGGCGCTCACCTACCACCGTTACACGGAGCGTGTCCGGCCCTCAGAGCCCCAGCACCTCCGTCCGCGCCCTGTTGGATGGGACACGCTGTGGACGGGCAGCTTTCCGTCACAGGAACCCTCCCTCTCTGAGGGAGGAGCCAGAGAAGGGCCGGCCCACGGATTGCCATGCGGCCGAGGCCCCAAAGGAGCCACGCCCCGTCCCCGTCCCCGTCCCGCCGCTGCAGTCCCTGCTGTCCGTTTGCTGTCAGATAAACAGGAGCCGTCACTGCACAGCCCCGCCCGCCTGCCCGGGACTCCCGGCGCCCGCGAGGCTGGCGCTGTCCGGGGCCAGGGTGGCGACGTCCTCGCAGAGCCGGACGATGGGCTCCTGGCCGGCGCCGGGCGCGTCCCCCGCAGCCTCCCGGACCATGTGGACGTGGGCGAGGAGCGAGTCTGGCCGCTGGGCCCCCAGCCAGACGTCCTGGACGTGCAGGGACAGCAGGAAGGCGGCGGAGGCTGGAGGACACGGGCCGTCAGGAGGCGGATCCATGCGGCAGAGCCCGCCACCCACCCTCGCGCAGGGCCCGAGAGCCCGCGGCCACATGGGCTGTGTACACCAAACCGTCCGTCCGTCCGTCCGTCCGTCTGCATTCGGTGATGCAGGGATCGCGGCCCCAGGCCCGTCTCTTCTAGGTCTATCCGCCCCCTCAGCAGAGCTCGGTCCCCGACTGCAGCCACCAGCTCCCCCTCCTGCTCCCGCGTCCGGGAAGGGGCCCAGCCTCCAGGCAGAGGGCCACGTGCAGGTGCCACGGCCCCGCGTGCCCCCTCCAGGCCTCCACGCCCCCATTCCCTCCCTCACCCGTGCAAACCGCTCCTAGGCAGCTGCCCAACGCCAAACATGGCAGCTGTGCGCGTCTGTATGTGTGTGCATGCACGTACACATGCACACATGTGCACACACAGGCACTCGTGTGCACACACAGCACATGGCCACGACGTGGAATGTAGCCCTGTCTGGGAAAGGCCTGCAGGGAGGGGTGGTCCTGGGGGGCTGGAGGTCGGGGCGAGCACAACCCGTGATGGCGTCACTAAGGCCTTCCCCAGGCAAAGGCCGGCCCCCCACGGTCCCCAGGCCTGTGTGAGGCCGCTCCCGCCCCTCCGCCCACGGCCCCCAGAATCACCTCGCGTGGCTTCTTCCTCCTCGTCCAGGGAAGCCAGGAGGGTCTCCACGGCCGGGGGCAGGGGAGTCCCCGCGGGGCTCAGGGCCACCGTCAGCGGCAGCATCAGTGCGTTGAGCTCGGGCGTCGGCCCCTCGGTGCAGAGCTGGCTGTACAGCCGGAACAGGCTGCCCCTCACTGCGCTGTCCGCGAGGAGCCGGGCCCGGACTTCCGGCTGCCGCTCCACGTGGACCTGCAGCCAGCCCAGGAGGCCCGCAGCCTCAGCCCCGCCGAGCGGGCCCTCAGTTGCCGTGCACAGCACCCAGCTGACCACCAGGGCGGCGACGGTGCACGCGGGGCTGTGGGGGGCCGCCGGGTCCGAGGGCCCCTGAGTGGGTGCAGGGCCGGGGAACACGGGCCCCCAGTGGGTCAGGATGGACCGCAGGAGGCCCCTGCACGTCTCCAGGCTGGACGGCGGCAGCTCGGGGCTGGCTGCCTCCTCCGCCTCCCCAGGCTTCCTCCTCCGGCCCCAAGCACCTCGGGCGCGGGCGGGCCCTGTGGGCTTGTTCCCGTCTTTGAGCATCTCTGCCGGAGAGAGGACAGTGAGCCTGCGCCCTGCAGACTGGGTGGCGCAGGGGAGGGGCTGGGGCAGGGGAGGGAGGGCAGGGGCAGCCGCGGCTGTAGCAGGGGGCTCCTCTAGGCGACCACGGGACCCGGGTCTCTACGCTCCCCCGCTGCCCAGAGGGGGGACAGGGTGCTGGGGAGCGGGGAGGAGGGTGGGGGGGGAGGGGGGGGAGGGGCAGCCGCACGCACTCAGCAGGTCCCGGGCGCGGAGCTCCTCGGCGGCGGCCCGCAGCGCCCCCTGCAGCTCGCTGTCCCGTGCGATGAGGCTCCACTTGTGCAGCAGGAGCAGCGCGTCCGAGGCGGACAGCACCGCCTGGTTCCCGGCGAGGCGGCCCAGGCCCCGGGCGGCCCGCAGCACTGCTGCCCGGCACCGCAGTGCCCCGTCCAGGGCCCCGAAGAAGCCGGTCAGCTGCGCGGGGGCCAGGGCGGGCCTGTGGGGGAGGACACCTGAGCAGGCTGCCTCGCCCGGCCGGACGCCTTGGGAACCACGGCTGAGGGACAGGCAGCTGGGCAGAGAGCCGCGGTCAGGGGTCCCGGGCACGCTCACTGCCTCGAGGCCGGTGCCCTGCGGCCGGGCAGAAGGGAATGAGGGGGAGGGTAAATGCTGCCGCTCCCGAGGAGGGGCCTGGACAGGAGCCTGGGCAGCGGGCAGGGAGGCAGGTCGGGGAGCCCTGCACTTTCTTAGGTCAAGGTCACAGGTCACGTTCTTCCTTGGGAACGCCCACCCGAGGCTGGACTCAGAGGCCAGGGGCCGGCTCCTGCCCAGGGGCCTGGGCAGCAGGTTAGTTCCAGGCCCACGAGGAGTCTGGGAGGAGCCCGCGAGGCTGGCGCGAGAGAGGGACAGCGAGGACGGGATTCCTGGCGTCACCTGCACGCTCTGCCCGGAGCCCGGCTGGAGCACTGACCAGCAGGGAGGGGCGTGTCCGGCGGTGACCGGCAGGGAGGGGCGTGTCCGGCGGTGACCGGCAGGGAGGGGCGTGTCCAGCGGCGGCCTACCTCAGGTGCCTGGCCAGCGCGAGCAGCACGTACAGGAACTCGTTGACCAGGTGCAGGGCCGGCAGCTTGCGGGGCTCCTGGGTCCCGGGCGGGCCTGGCGGGGGACTGCCCGCCTCTGCCCCCCGGCCCCCCAGGTTGGTCGCCCACAGAGCGTGCAGCAGGTCGATGATGCCGGCCAGCAGCGGCGTCTCCAGGAACCTGAGGGACACCGCTGTCACTCCCCGCCCGGCACCGAGGGCGGAACCCGGCGGCGGGCGAGGCTGGCAGTCCCTCTGGGCGGGCTCAGGGTGCCCAGCGCCGCAGGCCGCCTGCCTAGCCCCTGCAGCCCGCATGGCAGTCCGAGCAGGACGGCTCCGCCACACCCCGACTTCACACCGCCCGGCCAGGGAGAGCAGCCCGCGGCCGCTGCGGCCACAGGAGACTCCTCTCCCCGCAGCCTCCAGAGCGAAGGCGCGCCCAGCACCCGGGCCTGGAGCGGGGGCGCTGTCTGAGCTGGCGCTGCCTCCGGTTAGGAGCAGCTCGGACAGTGCCCTCGCCCACTCCTGTGGGAGGGGGACGGGCCTGTGGGAGGCGGTGGGCTCCATGAGGTGGTGGGGGGGGGCGCTGGGGTTAGTGCTGGGACAGGAGCCCGCAGAGCCCTCCCCCTCCCGTCCTTCTCCCTCGCCCTCTCCCTCGCCCTCTCCCTGGCCCACGTGCGGTGCGGAGGGCGCCCGCTCACCTGCCCTCCAGCGCGTGCAGCACCCACGTCAGGAGGCTGTAGTCCCGCAGGAGCGCGTGGGCGGCCCCGGCGTCACGGGCGGCCTTCTGCAGGATCTCCAGCACCCAGCCCTGCCACCGGAGCCGCTGCCTGAGCGCCACGTGGACCGGCCCACCCTGCCCCGCCCCACTGAGGACCCGCCCCACTGAGGACCCGCCCCACCCTGCCCCACCCCGCCCCACTGAGGACCCGCCCCGCCCTGCCCCACCCCACTGAGCACCCGCCCCACCCTGCCCCGCCCCACTGAGGACCCGCCCCGCCCTGCCCCGCCCCACTGAGGACCCGCCCCGCCCTGCCCTGCCCCACTGAGCACCCGCCCCACCCTGCCCCGCCCCACTGAGGACCCGCCCCGCCCTGCCCCGCCCCACTGAGGACCCGCCCCGCCCTGCCCCGCCCCACTGAGGACCCGCCCCGCCCTGCCCCGCCCCACTGAGGACCCGCCCCGCCCTGCACCACCCCACTGAGGACCCGCCCCGCCCTGCCCCACCCCACCCCACTGAGGACCCGC